CTTGAGATGTACTTATACTCCTTATCTTTCCACATGACTACATTTGCGCTTTTCTTATCGTATGAAAATCCTATCAATTGTAGTTTCCATCGTATTTTAATAACAGAAATACATCATTTGTAATAAAGTTCAAGCCCTTTCCTGAGCTGACCGACAATACTATCCAACAGTTTCAAATATGCAAACCGTGCAAAATCGGTGAGCAAGTGGCATTTCGTACAGCAATAGCTATTGGTAAGAGAAATCCTCAAAGAACCGATAATATCGTACCGAAAGAAGTGTTAACTCAGACATACTCGCGAGAGAAAATTTATAATTCCCATCTTTATCCCACATCTCGCCTTTAAAGAATTTCGCATCCCACATCCCGCCTCGCTTTAAGCCTAATCCTACATCCTGCCAAGCCAAACCTATGTTAGACCCTCTCTACCGCTTTTATTTGGTCTATGGGATTCGCTGTTGGATTTAATACACTGAGCACGCAGGAAATCTGCGGAGAGCACGTTAAAGTTGTGAAAATGTTTTGCTTGCCTTTATAACTAAGATGCAGTCCTCCCTTGTTTAGGCCATTCTCTGTGACCTTTAGATGCTGGATAAGTTTCCATCCATTCTGACGGAAGTAGCTCTTTAGATGTTTATTCGCATCTTTCACTGCTCCACAGAATTCATTCGTTGTAGCTTAGATATAGCGGAGTTGGCGTTGGATGAATTTTCGATTTTTCCACGATCGATTCAACATGTTGCAACAGTTTTATGTTTAAGGTTATTGGAGCCGCCATAAAGAACGACTTGGTCCGGTGAATGCTCCAGGTTAGCTTTGAGGTTTTCCTTCATAGCTTTAATGGTGGCCTTACAGAATAATTTGACCACTGCTCGATGGCCAACGACTTTTTCTAGCTTTCTACGACACACGTTTGTCTTTATTGGGGAAGCTCCAATTGATAGGGTTGTACAGCAGAGTTGTAGCCAAAAATGCTCGTTACATGTCCAACTTCTCTTCTAAAATGGCTAAACGAAACGAAGTTCAGTAATAAATATCTAACCGGTGGCAAGAAATAAATTACAAGTTATAGCTGTCACAATTCAAGGTAAAGAAATGAACAAACGAGAAAATAAAAATAAAGGAAAACAAAAGACACTTACAAACGTCGTACGAGATCTGAGTCAACTGCTAAATTAAACGGACGATGTGATGCGGCGCAAAGCGATCGATAGGGACGGTATAAACAGCTAGACGGTTCAAATAGTTCCCCTCACATGTGACTGGCCATTAGCAGTTTAAACGGTTGATCCGAATGAATAACGCAGTGAAGAACTAACACAAGCGACATAAACAAAAGGAAATTATTCAGGAAAGAGTAACAGAATATTGATGAAAGTTATGCACGCAGAACAAAAGGCCTGAATAAATGTGACAAAATAAAAGTATGAATTTGTAATCAGTCGAATTTTTGGCGGGAACAGTGGTTTCCAGGAGAAACAAAATAAAGAATCACCGATCACCGGATCACCGGATCACCGGATCACCGGATCACCCGATCACCCGATCACCGGATCACGGATCAGTTCAAAATAAATCAAATAAATTAAATAAATTAATAGGCGTGATTGATTGCTCATCTACGTGACTCAGTCAAGATCTCCCGTATGCTAAAGCGAAAATAAGAGAAAATACTAAATACTGAAAAGGCCATACCACTTTGTGGAAGTGTCAATGACACAACGAAGTGTCAACTATCACCTACCGACTATTAGGACTGCTATTTAAGACTGACAGCTACAGAGCGGGTTTACTTGTGCATATGCTATATTCACATGAAATTTATAAATTATCCGGTTTCCTGGAAAAACCAGATCAAGGATCAAGGATCAAGGATCAGTTCAAAATAAATAAAATAAATTAAATTAATTAATAAGCATGATTGATTACTCATCTACGTGACTCAGTCAAGATCTCCCTATGCTAGAGCGAAAATAAGAGAAAATACCAAATACTGAAAAAGCCATACCACTTTGTGGAAGTGTCAATTTTCGCCTACCGACTATTACGACTGCCATTGAACACTAACAGCTACAGAGCGGGTTTACTTGTGCATATGCTTTATTCACATGAAATTTCTAAATTATCCCGAGTGTCGGTAGATGATTGCGTCTCTGACTTCCGGTGCAATTTCAAAACACGAAACCGCTTTTGGGGACAAATTTTCAGCTGCTTTAACTTCATCTCTTCAAATTTTTGCTGACTTCATATCCTTAAAGGAAAAGCAGATGCAATACATCTGAAGAATCACTTACTTAGAAGAAGACGTTTTAGTCGTTTTTCCGACTGGATTTGACAAGAGACATGATTCGGAAAGTGATAAAATTGTATCGCCCCACTAAGTTGTTGTTGTGAGTCCTTTGAAATATACATGGAGGCAACAAGTCGAAAATCTCATGAACACACACTGGAGAATTGAATCAGTTCTTAGTCTTACGTGATTTTTTTTGAAAGAAAGTACCTGACTTTTTTTTTTTTTTTATTTTTTAAACAATTTTATTTACAAGACGATCACTTACACTACTTACAGTATTAATTACACTTACATTGTACTTGCTACTTACACTACTGATACTTATACTTACACTAATTATGCATACACTACATTACGATACATGTATTACAATACTATTAACATTAATTTAATTTACGGTTGGCGTATTTACAAAGTTCTTTTCAATTAAAAGAATCACAAGTGAACATACAGGTCTCAAAAATGCTACATTTCTTTGGATATTTACTTTTGATATAGCTTAAACAAATGTTTATGAAATTAAGTATAAGTCTAACTAAAACAACAGCAGCATGAAAAATTAAAGTAAAAAAGCCCACGTGCGATAAAATTTCGGAAGTTCTTTTTTTGCGGTCGCGATCTCTTTTAGGATTTCAAGTTTTCCCGTGATGAACAGTAGGAAGATTTGAAAATATAAGATGTCTCCGCAAAGGCTTGTGCAGAAAATGTGATATTTGGCTAACAATAGGCAATAATTTAGGACTTGCCAATGCTTTGTCCTATAATGCCAGCCATAGAGTATATGACTTGTGGATAACGTTATTGTTTCATTTGTTTTTTGGTGCCACCAGTCTTGAAACAGAATCCAGAAGTCGAGTATTAGTGTGCAGTTTATTAATAGGTGATGCAACGTTTGTTTTTCTCTATTGCGTAGGTTGCATAAGGGGCTCTCTGAAATGCCGTCTCGGTAAAGAGTGGTGCGAGTTGGAAGCACGTTATGAATCACTTTATACTGAAACATTATCATTTTAACTTCGTTTGTAACTTTAAATGGCATAAGATAAACGTTCTTGATGGTAGTTTTTGTAAATCCGTGACGTAGAATTTTGGTTTCGGCAGTGGGAGGAACAAAGACAGTGTTTAAAAGAGAAGTGTAAATAGAACTGGTTCTTAGGCTGTTTACAGTAGTGTTCGCGTGTGTGACGTTTGGAATAGGGTTTGTAAGAATAGCTTTCCAGTCTTTTGGGATTGCGTTGACTAAGCCATAGTATGCGGTGAAAGGCACATTTAAATTAAATTTTGTGACAAATTCATGCCACTTCAAAAATTTCTGATTTTGGTTTAACAAGTCGCATATCTTAGTAATACCGGCGTCATACCAAGTTTGGTAAAAGACAGGTTTTTTTCCTATAAGAATTTTTCTGTTATTCCACACTATTTCGTTTTTAGGATTTGTTTTGGAATCGATGCCCGTTGAGATTTTAAACTCGCACCAATAATCTAACACTTTTTTGTAAAATGCATGAGGCTTATCATCGAGATCTAGTGTGCTTGGTGTAAAGTTGCATTTTGTTAGAAAAGCAAGACCACCATGTTTGTGTAAGAGCTGGTTAGGAATAATTTTCCAGGAGGCTTGTGAGTCATCTTGAATTCTGTTGACCCAAGCTATTTTGAGTGCTTTTTCCATGATATTAAAATCGCACATTTTCAAACCGCCATCTTTCTTTTCTCCAATTATGGTGTTTCTTTTTATTTTAGGGGGTTTTCCTGCCCAAATAAAGTTGAAAGTTAGCTTATTTATTTCTTGGATATAGTGATCTGGAACGGGGAGCACGGAGGCTGAGTAAATTAACTTAGATATCCCAAGTGTTTTGACTATGTTTATCTTTCCATAAAGAGTTAGATTTCTCGGTTACCAAGTGATTAGCGTTTTCTCGAGATTACGTATTTTTTCACCGAAATTCAGTCTATTAGCACTTTCTTGGTTATGAGAAAAAAAGACACCAAGGGCATTGACAGGTTCTTTTGGCCATTTAAAACCAAAGGGTTCATCTGTCTGTCTTTCCATTCGCCTAACCACATTGCTTCGGTTTTAGTTGTGTTTATTTCTAGGCCAGAAAGTTCTTTAAACTCATTTAAAACCTTCAATAGACTCACGACGGAATCGAGGTCACGAACAAATACTGTTGTGTCGTCGGCATATTGACTTATTTTAAGCTCATGCCTGACGACTAACGAGGAAGAATTGTTTCTTCTGTTTTCTGTCACCAGTAAGCACAACAGGCAGAAAATTTAGTCCCACACTTTTGATCACTTCCAACAAAATAAAGGACCTTGACCTTTGCCGATTCTCTTTTTCTCTATAGCTTCAGCAGGGGAACCGCACCAACGGTTAAGTATGGTGCGCAAAAGCAGAAGTGCTTAAAAAATCTGCAATGATTTCGATGACATTACTCTTGTAGTATACATGTAAATCACGTTTTTCTGCGAGCCACAAGAATTTCTGGTAATTGATATAGTATAACAAAAGATAACATCGCTGTTGACAAACAGGCGTTTTTTTTACTTTAATCGTGTATCTCACTCTCTTAACCATGATAAATAATACAAACATTCTTACTAACGACAGGCACAATTATGTTGAAGGCCTGTGGGTTGTGAACTCTAATCTATTTACGATTCCAATCTGACATTGATGTACTTGTAAATAGTCAAAAGGAACTTTTGTTAACTTGCTCTTGATTTCGTAGTCAACACGGAGAAATGAGGCGTCGAAATGAGGGTGGCGCTGCTTGACACACTGGGGATCCACATGATAATACGCATTCCGTTCTCTGTATGACTTTTTGTCTGTCCTGGATTGTCTTTGTCAGGATACTCGTATCTCTCTGGATGCCTTAACACTATGTCGTATGGGATAGGGCGATTTGTTTTTGGGAAGGATAATCCACGAGAGGCACACTTACTAATGTTCCCTGAAATGAAAACTACGCTGAATAGATTATCGTTTTGCCAGATATCTTTGTACAGCTTTGTCTGAGTTAAGTCTAGGAACTGTGGAACTCTTCACGTGAAGGATTACTTTCTATTCGGCCTGCTTGCCGCCTTGTCTTGTTTGTCTGCCCCTTTTTCCCTGAAACATCTCTGTTTACTCCTGTGTTTGCCAGGGTACTCAAATTTGTTGTTTCGATGGGGTTCCTTCCAAATTTACTTAGGAAGTCTATTAAGCACTGTTCTTTGTCTGCAACTGCTAAAGAGTGACAAGAGACTTTTGCAGATGAAAACCCTGCACAGTTACAAACCACGTTCCCTTTGGTGGTAATTGATACAGTGTGCGAAACCGTTCCCACAAAACTTGCCACCATGAAGATCATGTTAGATGAGGATGAGGTATCGGATGGAGAAATACTAGGCTGTGGGTATATCGCAGAAGCGGTTGATTTTAGGATTGTTGCTTTCCTCCACAATGCTGTTATATGCGATTCTGTCAATCTTGACTTTAAGCCAGATTGCTCTGGGGTGACAGTCAATTCAATATCACTATGAGGTTGGTCTCTGTGAAAAACACGTCAGAAGCCATGAATCAGTAAAAATTCAAAAGGAGGCGTTTACGCCAAGTTAGCTGATTCCACCAGTAAGCCTAGCTGTCGAAGTCCAAACTTGTAAATTCTATAAAAAACGAATTCCTGAACAGAAAAGATGAATAAAGATGAAAAGTATGAGAAGAATTTTGCGTTAACGAGCCTTGATGGTTAAGTTTTGGGGAACAACTGACGTGACCATACATGAGGCCCAGACTGACATCCTTACTGGTACTTGACGTTTAAGATTCCCATTTGTCAACTTCGTATATAATATACTTTTTTCTCTGACTTTAGGTTTGATTTTGGCTATCTGTAGAGAAACGTCCAAGCGATATTTAATTTTTTAGTGGGCAACTTTGCAATCTTCAAGATGATATTGATACAGTCACCTGTAAATGAATTTGGAAATTTTCAATGTTTAGTTTTCAGCACTTGTAAACAACCGATGAACGCTGGCTTTTACAGGTAAAACGTTTCTCAAACAATTCAGTGTTTAAATTTAATTCGTCGTTTAAAACATAAACCCTGAGGGAAGAGACGTCGTGTCGCAGACTCGCGGTCACCCCACGAAAGAGAGGAGCATGAAATGATGTATGTCGATTGAATTAACCTTAGCCACTACACATTTCTGTTAATATACCTCCGCTCCGAGAACAGGTGGCTGAGATATCCTCACTCTGAACGTTGACAGTTATCTTTGGAAAATTTACCGTTTTACCGGAAAGCAGTTCCTCCATTGACAGAGTGTTAACCTGTTGGACGTATTTGAGTCTTTCTTGACGACTTCCTCCGAACCACTTCTTCTGCAACTTCCAAGCACTTGTATTCAGGACACAATTCGTACTCCTCACGACTGTAAAATGCTCTTATGACTTCCTCCTACTGGGATCTCCCCTCTTCGTGAATGGCCTCTATAAAAGAAATAATGGGCTGTGATTCTGGACAACGGACGGACAAGACATGATTCATGGCTTCAGACATATTTGTGTACGCCTTTTTTGGAGGACTTCCAAGAGCATTCTTTTTTCTAGCTTCCCTGATCATGGTCTTGCACAGAGGTTCGGTACGATTTGTTATCCATGCGAACACTCTTTCATTCGCGTTGCTCAAAATCAATGCTTCTTTTTCCTTCCAAACGTCTCTATATCAGTCTAGCAGAACTCGAAACTCTTGTTCGTCTTCTGCGTCACACAATCCTTTAACGTAGACGTCGTCTTCTGTGTGGCCAAACACGTCATCGAGGAAAGGCTCCCTGTCCTTCTTTTCTCGTTTAGAGAAAGGTGCACGACTAGCAGATGAGCTTTGGCACAAAGTGAACTTCATGGAAAAACCCCATCAGCTTCAAACTTCACCCGCTAGAGTTCTGCCTCCTTCGGTACCACGATGGTTTGCAAAACCAGAGTAGTCGGCAGAATGACGGAGGACATCCAAAGCAGAATCCTGCTAACAATTATGGGAATCGTTTCAGCTCCTCATGGTCAAGACAGAATAAGTTTGATCGAGGTAAGCCCATCAAGCCGCCGACATGTTACTTTTCCAGAAAAGCTGGCCGGCTGATTTCTAGCTGCCCAGAAAAGTGGAGAGTGGCGCCTAAGCGTGATGGTTTTCTCGCTAAGACATTGTCTTTAACAGCTGTTGCTGAAGATACACCCCCGTCCCCAAGTTCTAAGAGAGAAGACTCAAGCAAGTGCTGTGAGTGAAGTCAGTGGCCCCTGCAAATCTGTCATGGATCTTTTTCAGCCCTTCACCCACGATGGTTCGGTGTCATTGTCAACTGATACATCCAACTCCATACCAATCAAGATCTTGACAGGCACTGGAGCCTCACAGTCTCTATTGCTGAGTGAAATTTTGATGTTTTCTGAGAAATCGTCCACTTGTGCGAGTGTTCTAATAAGAGGAATTGCATTGCAATCATTGCAGAACAACACGGAGACCCGGAAGTCTCACCTATATTTTCAAGAAGTGTTAGTGAAGGCGAAGTATCTCAGAACCCCACCTGTTACTCTACGAAGAATGGAGTGTCGCCATGTGGAGACCACCCGATGTTCCCACAGAAGAGGAGTGGGTTGTCCAGTACCAGATGATTGTCCCAAAGACCTACAGACCGGACGTTTTAAGCACAGCGGATGAGACCCCCTTGCCTGGCCACCTGGGTGTCAACAAAATCTGCCAGAGGTTCTTAGACCATTTCTACCAACTCAGTCTAAGAAAAGTTGTGGCTCAATACTGCAAGTCGTTTCACACTTGTTAGATGACTGAGAAATCGAATCAGATCGTTCCAAAAGTACCGTTACAGCCACTACCAGCCCTTCAAGAGCCATCCAGCAGAAGAATCATTGTTCATTGTTTAGAGCCACTACCTAAAAAGAGGTCTGGACACCAGTATTTGATGACCATCATGTGTGTATCCAGTAGATTTCCTGAAGCCGTGCCCTTGAGAAATATCAGTGCAAAGGTCATGGTCAGAGCTTTAACCAAGCTCTTTACACCGGTAAGTCTCCCGAGCTCTATCCAGTCTAACCAAGGTTCCAATGTTGTGTGGCATATTTCAACACGTCATGCACGAGCTTGGAGTCACACAGTATATGTCAACCGCATGTCACCCTCAAAGTCAAAGAGCTCTCGAAAGATGGCACCAAACACTGAAGAACATGATGAGGATCTACTGTTTCGAAAGAGAGGAAGATCGGGACGAGGGTAGCCATTTACGACTGTCTGCTGCAGCTGAGTCAGTACAGGAGTCTCTAGGATTCAGTCCATTCGAGCTTGTATTTGAGCACACTGTGAGAGGACCTCTTAAACTGCTTAAAAAGAAGTTACTATCTAGCAGCACTGAGTCTACGAATCTCTTGCAGTATGATTCAGATTTTTGCAGTAAGCGTTTTAGAGCTTGTGAGTTAGCTAAAGCTAATCTTAGTTCTTTCGAGATGTCTTTGAAAGAGAAGTATGATGTAGATGCTGTAGAACGTGACTTCAAGTCAGGAGAAAAGGCTCTTGCATTGTTGCCAGTGCCTAGAGACAAACTTAATTGTAGATGTTTTGGTCCTTATGTTACTGAGAAGAAGCTAAATGACCTCAGGAGCTAATGTCAACATGCATCAGACAAACAGCAGCGAGCCGCCCAAATTTTTCTCTCCTATTCTCATATTTTGTATCCCAATATGTCCTGATTCTTTTGGTGTGATAGGTTGAATTGCATTTAGATAGATTGTGCCTTTTTCCGTTTGATTGTCTTTCCTAGTTTGACTTTTTAACCATTCGATCTATCAAAGCTAGATCGTGAAGTTTATGAACTTCACCATATTAAACCTGTTGCGCATATCGTCCTCTTCTCTTTTTTTCGCTCAGATGTCTTCCCAAGTTTGACTATTTAACCAGTTGATCCATAAAAGCTAGATTTTACAGTTTGTGCAATTCAACCTATTAAAGTAGTTGTGGATATTGTCCAGTTGAACCATTTAAGCTAGTCTGACCGATTAAAATACGTCAACCAATTACGATGGAATAATGATTGTGGATGTATGAAAATCATATATGGGCACTGCGGTGAAAGGACGAATATACTGTATTTCTTGACCAATAAGCCGAGACCCCAAAAGCTAGAGCCCTTTTAACAGACTTGTGTTGTCCAAAAGAAAAAGCAAAACCATCAGCTATAAGGCGAGAGCAAAATTCTTGATTGTAACAGGCCATTTGAGTGAGCGAACCTCACGGAAAACATTAGCAACTGGCTGATATGATAGAATAACAGAAATACACATGGAAATTTTTGCAGTAACGTTATAGCCATCCTTCGTCTTTTAAAAGCTAGAAGCTCAGTAGGTTCTGTCGTGTCGGTCACTGTTAAAACTGTCTCTGTTTTGATGCTACTTTTCGACACAGAAAAAGTATGTCGGACAAAATTATTCACTAAAGAAGAAATAATTCTTTGCCAGCTTCAATAATGACCGGGAATTAATTTCAAATGATACAACAAAGGATTATGCCGACAGAAATACCGGTGGTCCAGCAAACTCGTTACATGAGGTCACACAACTCGGGTAATATTCAGGGTAAAAATTTGCATATTTGAGCGGTCCAACGAAAAAACTAATTTCTCACCTGGCTGATGGTGGTGTCAGCTAATGTTACCTCTTTTGTCTCTGGTTTCTAACCTCTTACTTATGGCTTGCGTCACGACACATTGTGGGTACAGACGGAGAATTGTCCTCTCTACTGGCTCTGGAGACTTTTCTTAACCACGTTTGTCGGTGACAATAGAATTGGCAACTACTGGTGTATACTGGTGTATACTGTATACGGTGGCACCGGGTATACTTGGAACTGATTCCTCTTATTAGAACACTCGCACAAATGGACGACTTCTCAGAAAACACCAAAGTGTCACTCAACAATAGAGACTGTCAGGCTCCAGTGCCTGTCAAGATCTTGATTGGTATGGAGTTGGATGTATCAGTTGACAATGACACCGAACCATCGTGGGTGAAGAGCTGAAAAAGATCCATGACAGATTTGCAGGGGCCACTGACTTCACTCACAGCACTTGCTTGAGTCTTCTCTCTTAGGAGGGGGGTGTATCTTCACCAACAGTAGTTAAAGACAATGTCTTAGCGAGAAAACCATCACGCTTAGGCGCCACTCTCCACTTTTCTGGGCAGCTAGAAATCAGCCGGCCAGCTTTTCTGGAAAAGTAACATGTCGGCGGCTTGATGGGCTTACCTCGATCAAACTTATTCTGTCTTGACCATGAGGAGCTGAAACGATTCCCATAATTGTTAGCAGGATTC